GGCGGCGACAAACAGTTCCACTGCTTCAAGAGTTAGCCATAAACTTCCCCAAAGGAAATGACGACATTACCAGGATAATGAATTGTTTCGACTGGATTTGGTATTAGCAACAGGTATCCGTACGGTCATGTCTTCGGGCACTTACATTGTTTAGTTAACCAGCTTTGAAAGACGGTGCTGTTAGCAGCTACCATGACATGATCTAAACACGCGTGATAAGGCATAGAAATAGCAGAGGAAGGTGGCAGGAATGCTCCTTGCGTTCCGTAGAGTTTGTCAAATATCGACGCGCGGAGCTGTTGCCTCCGACCTAGGAAGACAAGGAAAAGAAAAGGCGGCAGCAGGTCATTGACCAGTGAGGACGTGAGGAGAAAGGAAACGAAAAGGGCACAGGTTCTTTAGACAATAACCGGGCGGGACAGAAAATCGAAAAAGGTGGGCTCAAACGACAAGAGCACGCAACACATGGCAGGTGACCAAAAGGAATAAGAACAAGGCAAGAACACTTCCAATGATGGAACAGAACGAAAGGGTTGGGAAAGCAGAGAACGGAAGCATAGGCTCTTGGCTTTGTGATGGCTTTGGGTGTGCAAAGAAGGATGGGAGAATGCTGTAGGTTGAGGATAAGATGCGTGTCAGTCAGGAACGGGGATAGACAGTAGTTGTTCAAAGAACAACGCAAGTCTGGGAAGGGTCTTGGAGATAGAAGAAGGCAACACGAAGGGGATGGGAAGGGAAGTGGTACTTACAACACAGTGAAGATGGGATGCTTGGGGGGGAAAGGAAAGGGGAGCAAGACGAGGGGGGAGGCAGCCCTTTATACCTTTCCCGAGGAGCCTCGATCAGTACTGATCGTGTGCACACGCGAAATCTCTGCCTGGAGTTTCATCATGGGAGTTCATCGTCAGGACCGTACTCCGTCCTCGACTTACAGTGGCAGTTGCCATACACGGAGGGGAATCGGGACTCGTCCGCCAGGCACAGAACCATCCCAGTACAAGTGGCGAAAATGGCAGCCTCAAAGTGGGTCCGGGCCTTGCAAACGGAACGCGACACGCGAGCGCGCCGTGGCCCGTGGGCGAGGGTTGAGCAAGTTGGCCCCCCCGCCCGTCTGGTCTGGCAAGGCCGGGGAGCGGAAGCCGGGCGGTGGCAGTCGAGGCCATCGACAGAGAGCGAGCTGCGCAAGACCCTTCGTCGACTCGCGCAAATACCTTGCACAAAGACACGGCTGTCTATTACACAATATTGAACGCATGTATAATTGTTGGCGGCCCAATCACTTTACACGGTCGGTTGCTGGGCAGCTGCGCGCAGCTCACGGCCAGGTGGCGACGGGAAACGCAGTGGGAGTGGAAGCGTGGCGAACGGCCCAACCGTGCCACGAATCCGTGAAACGAAACAGGAATCATTTGAGCAAACAAATACATACATCCCCGTACTGTAAGCTCATGTCGCTGAATTCAAACTCTACGAGGAGCGGCTTGGTCATGTAGGTCAAGTCACCACGGCCCGCGGTCGTGAGGCCGTCACCGAGCCCAGCAGCGCGAACCATGATGCGCTCTCCTACGCAAATCCCCACTAGAGCCGCACTCCTGCGGTATCCCATCCATCACCCTGCCCACGCGCTCCAAGGTGTGCTGCTGCTCTGGCCACCGCAACATGACGTTTGGAGTGGAATAAGTGGGCCCGTGGTAGGGACCATGAACACTCCTCGCCAGCTGGCAACCCCCACAAAATCAAAACGCCAGCCAAACCTGAGTATATTTACACTGGGAAGATGCTTTAAGATATGGCCATTCTAGTAGTCTAGTTCAAATCTGCGGTACGAGACTGTTGCGTGGGAAATCGCCGAGTGTCGCGCAACCCGTCGCGGCTCGTCCCTCGGTTTTCGCCCTCGATTTCTCCAGCAAAGTGCTTGACCGAGAATTTCGACTCCCTTGAACCATCCGATTCCATCAGCTGCAGCTCGTTCGTAGATCATTCGGGCTTTGGTCTCTGCCATTGACATGTAAAGTCGCGCAAAGTGGCCCACCTACCAGTGGCACTAAAGTACAAAGATAAATCACACATCGACAACCTGTTTGGACGGCAAAACCCACAACCACCCTTCCCAGTTAAGACGTTGACGATAGTAACGATGATCACGACGGCCATGACGGTCACGACAGTCAGGACGATTATGGCGGCCACGACGGTTACGACAGTCACGACGGTTATGGCGGCCACGACGGTTACGACAGTCACGACGGTTAATACAGTTACAACGGTCTCGACGGCCTCGACAGCCAGAATACAGTAGCCTGAAGCAAAGTCTCTTGTAGCAAAAAATTTCTTGCGCTGGTAATGACTACGCAACACCACGTGTAGGTGCAGAGCTCAGTTCGTCACCCGACCCCGAAAGGCTCCTCCCGCCAGCTTTGGTGGCCTTCGCACGAGCGGGACGCAAACCCCCAACAGCAGCGGATCCAGTTCCAGTGCGATCGCTGGGGTTCCGACGTGGGTGTTCTCTCGCTCCGTCATGATATCCTTGGCCTTAAAGAATTTCAGCACGACTTGATGAATGTTGTTGGGGGAGTGGAAACTTTGGGCCTGTCTCCGAACATCTTCTGTTCTGCAAAGGAAGAGGAAGGTTGACCACCTTGAGCCCTCTCTTGCGTGCCAGCTGCACGACGTTGTCGATTGTGTAACCGTGTGGCAATATCTTTTCGATGAACTCGACGCATTTTGAGCCAGCTTTCTCCCATGATTTGAAGAGTTCAGACCGCTTTGGCCCAAGATTGTATTTGGGGTCGCTTTGCTAATGTCGGATTCTGAGCGGGATCAGATCGGCCGCCTTTCCGTCCCGAGGCAATCCGATCGTCTCCTGTCATGAAATCAGCACCTGCAGAGGGCAATGATACTAATATCAGAGTGCTTACTCGTTGGATGCACACAGTTTGGCTAGCCAGCCCCAGTACGTGGGAATAGACCGTGTTGGGATAATACCATCACCTCAGAACCGGCTTGAAGCTCGCGAGGGCTGGAGCCGACGCAGCGCCGAAGATGGAACGAATGTCGCCGTTCTTGACCATCGTGGAGACTCCTAAAGGAAAGTAAAAGAATGTGAATAATCACAGGGGTGTACGGGAATAGGTAAACTTAGGGAAACGCGGTTCCACGAGGTCAGTTGCAGGACGGGTTCTTCCTTGGAGGACAGGGGGAGGGGAAAAGAGAAGTTTGGGGACCCGGACGCGATGCATGTGGTGGACGGGCGCGTGGGCGGTCGTGGGCAGCTGCTGGGCCTTGCCCAGCCGTTCGTGTCACTCCTTCCCTCCGCGCCCTTCCCGTCTCCTACGGTAGCCCATCGTGCCATAGTTGAGGTAGGTACGGGGCATTCCACGTTCCCTCCTCACCTCCCGGTCAGTGGAAGCACGCTGGGCCAGTGCGAGGTCAGTCTACAGCGGAGTGCGGTAGCATCCGCACAGCGGGTGTTCTACCTGCCAGGTTCCAGGTGGCGTCCGCAGCAACCAGCACCAGACAGGCACCACCGGAGGCAGGCGAATTATTAGCTGAGGCCGCCAAGTAACCCTGGAGAGGAAAGGTGGTCGGCAGCGTCGGGGGCCAGGCATAGAGCGGGATCGTGGTGTCCTCAGTGTTCACGCCGCCCCGGGTAGAGGTGGCGGGACGGGGAGTCAGGCTCAGGGCCAAAGTGCCCGTCTGACTGCCCAAATCACCCCACGAACTTGCGTTCCAAGATGCGATGGCAAGTCACCTTGATGTGTCCTCGCCTCAGATGTATATTTGCATGAATGCTGCCAAAGATGTCTAGATACCCGAGCGAGTCATCGCTCGGGTGTCTGTTCCTCCAACTGGATGCCCAACCCAAGCAGTCGTCCACCAACTTGAGTTGGGTTCCTGCGAGTGACTTGGTCCACTCGGCCACTCTGCCGTGTTATTTTCGTGTTGTTTCCGTTGTGGGGAGTCTGTTTATTGCGATAGATATGCCGGAAAATTTACCTCAGCTGTTTCGGCATCGGTGTGGTTTGTCGTGTCTGCGAACCGCGTGGCTCCAGAAACCTCAACCACCTAGGGCCGCTACCATGGCGCGGGTGCGGCGGTACGCCGCACGCCGACGCGCCCGGTGCGGCCTGATTCGCCCTTGTCACGGTTCAGGTACCTCAGTATATCGTTCCTGAAGAGCAATGCTTCGGCCTCCTCTTAGGCGTGGCCACCGCAAACACACACGGCGGGGTGCTGTCCCCAAATGTCCGCTTCTCCCAGCCAGGTTGAGGTGCGGAGCGGCGACAAGGTATCGATCAGAGCGTGCCCAGCCCGCGGTATGGTCATCTCACGCAATACTTGACCGGATAAGCCAAACGTCTCGGCAGACACAAACACAAACACCAACATGGTCACAGCGGGATGCAATCCCGCTGTGTACCGACCCCAGTGTCCTCCAGGGCTGATGTTGCCTCAGTACTTGACCACTGAAGTCCACTTGGCGCCCTGCAGGCATGGCGGACCCCCGGGGTCCACCACAGCCCTCCACGAACGCCTGGGGCAAGGATTCAATTGGCGCATGGCTCAAAGTGCTTAACCGCTGCCCCTTCCACCTGGCCCTCTCTGTTTTTCAGGCGTGATAGCATCATCTTGCTTCCTCCATCACACCCGCTGAGCTGGCGCTGTCGAGACCGGCGGCGGCGGGCCGGGGCTCCGGCCCGCCTCGCACCGTGTCTCGGCGCCGCGGCGACGCGGACAACCACCCACCAGCTCCGCCCCGATAACTCACATGTCTTCGCTGCCGCTGCATGGACAGTCGCTCCCGTCCCTCGCAAAGGGCAGCAAAATCATTTTCCTCGCTCTCTCTCGCACCAGGGTGTGTGCGGGTGGGGCATGGGGCATCCCGGGTGAGCAGCCACCCAAAGTGGAAATGCCCTCACGAAATCCCCCGGAACACCGCCCAAGGCATATCTATCGCAATAAACAGACTCCCCACAACGGAAACAACACGAAAATAACACGGCAGAGTGGCCGAGTGGTTAAGGCGGCAGACTTGAAGCAGAGAAACACTCTTCTTTAACCGGAAAATGTTATCTCTTGTCAGACATCTGCTACATTCGTGTGCGTAGGTTCGAACCCTGCCTCTGTCGAGATTGTGTTTTTATTTTTTGCCCCTGTGAAAGAACAGCTTAGTCTTTTTGTCTCGTGTATGGCCCAAACTGTCAGTTCGACTTGTACATACAGCAGATGATTGTTTTGCACCGTGCCCATCCCATGGTTGGGCGTGGAGGGCATTGGCGATGGTCCCGTGTTGGACACTCCGAACCCGCCCAAAAAATTGGCCCCGCCAGTGAGACCATCCCCAACCCCACCACTCCGCCAGCCGGTGAACAGCGCTTGCGCAAGGCACAGCATCAACGCTACACTTTCCGGAGAGCATCAGGGCACCGAGCGAGACTAGCCGGCACAATAATATCACGTCGCTGGTACCGGGATTCAACCCTAAGACTGTCTTATGGTGCTGCATCTATTCCTTTTTGGAGCGTCTTCAACGCAAGGTCGAGCTCCGGAGTGGACGTCAACAGCTGGAGCGATCGCATCCGTCCACAAGGTAATGCCGAAACCAAGCAACTGACAGAGCTCCGCAACATTTACCCGGGCGAGAAGAGTACGCGGCGGCGAGCGCTCGCCAGCCGCCTTGGTCTGACGTTACAAGGATTACAAGTTACATTTTCTATCTACCTCGTCGCTCAGTAGTCGTAGAAGCCCTTGCCGCTCTTCTTGCCGAGCCAGCCGGCGTCGACCATCTTGCCGAGCAGGACGCTGGGGCGGTACTTGGAGTCGCCCGTCTCGTTGTGGAGGACCTTCATGATGGAGAGGCAGGTGTCGAGGCCGATGAAGTCGGCGAGCTGGAGGGGGCCCATGGGGACGTTGGTGCCGTTCTTCATGATGGCGTCGATGGAGTCGCGGTCGCCGACGCCCGTCTCGAGGCAGATGACGGCCTCGTTGATGTAGGGCATGAGGATGCGGTTGGCGAGGAAGCCGGGGGAGTCGGCCGAGACCGAGGTGACCTTGCCGAGGCGCTTGCAGAAGTCGACGGCGGTGTCGAGCGTGTCCTTGCTGGTCTGCAGGCCGCTGATGATCTCGACGCCCTTCTGGACGGGGACGGGGTTCATGAAGTGGGTGGAGACGACGCGGGACGAGGCCGAGGTGTCGGTCGGGTCCGAGGTGGTGGCGGCGGCGATGCGGGTGATGGAGATGGACGAGGTGTTGGTGGCGAGGATGGCATGCTTGGCGCAGACGTCGGCGAGGTTGCGGAAGATGTCGAACTTGAGCTGGGGGATCTCGGGGACGGCCTCGATGACGAAGTCGACGGCGGCAAGGTCCTCCATCTTGGTGCTCGGCGTGAGCAGGGAGCGCGCGGCGTCGGCCTGCTCCTGCGTGATGCGCGACTTGGACACGTCCTTGGCCAGCAGCTTCTCTGCACGCACGACGGGGTCAGCGGGCGGGTGCCTCTGGCGGCGGGGGCTGCGATTGCGACGCACCGGCAAAGGCGATGCCCTTGGCGAGGGCCTTGTCGGAGGTGTCGATGAGCGTCACGGGGACCTGGGCCTTCTGCGCGGCGACGAGGGCGATGCCGAGACCCTGGGCGGCGGCGGCGATTCGGTCAGCATCGTCGACGTCCGTCTCTCACATGCGCCTGTGGGTGGGTGCACTAACCATCTGGCCGGCGCCGATGACGCCCAGGCTCTTGACCTCGGCGGCGAGCTGTCGCGGGGTCGAGCTGAAGCTGCGCACCTGGCGCGCTGCCCCGAGGGCCCGCATGCGAAGAATTGAGCTGGCCATGTTGCTTGGAGGGCGGGAATGTCGTGAGGTGCGGACGGTCAGAGGCCAAATGGGCGCCGGGGAGCTTTACTTCATGGGAAGCCGGGACGTGGACGGGTAACCTCGGCCTTTGCGGGGCCTGCGGGTAGTAGCTGTCGAGCGCCGGCATCCGCTGCAGCCGCTGGAGCCCACTGGGGCCCGCCTGGCCCGTCGCCCGGCGAGCGCTGTCGTTGCCGAGGATCAGCCAATTGCCCACTGAAACTTGGAACGGGATCCTTATCGCTGTTATCGGGCCCCACGCCGCACGCTTTACGCGGGTAGAGGCCCAGACGCGTCTGGACGCGTCCACCAGTGCCGTCAGTGGTGGCACACTTTCAGACTCGACCGCAACCCATCACGGCGCAACAAACCATTGAGTCGGCGGCATCACCATGGAGCCTCTGGACGGGTCTTCGGATACTGTCCACCCGGAGGTGCGGGCGCATGTGAACTCGCTCGTCTCCGCGGTACGTTGTCCTCTGGCTGTGGCGAAGAGTAGAGACGCTGTCGTCGAGGGTACTAACTGCAGCAGCTTGGCGGCGTCAGCGCAGACGACGACGGGCAATACCAGCTCGGTGACGATGCCCTCGAGGTGCTCCGCGACATCAAACGATGGATCCGCTTCTACGACGAAAAGACGAACCGCATGGACGTGGCGCGATGCATCTTCGACGCCAACCTCGTCGAGGGCGACCTGCTCCCCATCCTCGCGCAGTGGCCCGAGAACGCCATGGACAACCGCTTCAAGGCCCGCATCGCCCTGTCGTGCTTCGAGGTCATGGTCCCGCTGACCTGGCCCATGGACCGCGACAAGGAGCGCATGACGGTCAACCACCACCGCCACCTGCCCGTCCTCGAGCTGGCCCAGGTGCAGTACAAGCGCGCCATCATCAACTTTGACGGCGCGCGCATCCTCCACACGGCCGTCCGCGCGGCTCTCCCGTCCATGGCCATCTCCGCGGGCGACCGCACGCCCCGCGACCAGGGCATCATCAAGCTCGTCCTCTTCTTCCTTCGCAACATGGCCATGATTGCGCCCCCGCCAAATGTCAAGTACGACGGCGACGAGACCCAGATATCGAGATCCGCCACCATCGACGCCTTTTCCTACCAAGACATATTCATCTTCATTCTGACCCTGGCGTCCAACATGGGCGACGAGTTCCGGACCGAGGACACGACCGTCATGGAAACCATCTATCACCTCGTCAAGCGGGTGGACCAGCGCAAGCTCTTCATGAACGAGCAGCAGCTGAACAAGGCCAAGGCCGGCGAGCTGTCAGCCATGATGAACAAGGAGTCTGCGATGCTCAAGTCGTACAACCGCAAGGGCCCCACGCGCCACAACCGGTTCGGGACCATGGTCTGGGTGCAGCGCGACGACGGCAAGATGTCGTCGCTGTCGGGGCAGGACGCGCTGGCCGACGCGACGACGCGGAACCAGAAAATGGACAGCAACAAGACGTTCAAGCCGCCGCGGCGCGCGAGAAAGGAGAACAAGGACGAGCGGGACCTGGGCCTGCCGCCGAAGCTCAACGCGCGGGCCAACGACCAGCTCCGGGGCTTCGTGGAGGAGTTTCTCGACTCGGGCTTCAACCCGCTATTCCAGCATGTGCGCAAGACGATTGACCGTGAGGCGCCGCACGTGATGCAGTACCACAGAAGGCAATTCTTCTATCTCGTGGCGTGGTTCCTCGAGGCAGAGCGCGTGCGGCGGGCGTCCAAGAAGGGCGCAGGGCGGAGCGAGGGCGACGTCAGCAGCTTCAACCTCGTCGCCGGCGTGCTCAACCAGGAAATGTTTATCACGCTCAACCGGGCGCTGCACGAGTCGTACGACTTCAAGGACTGGCAGGAGCTGACGGCTGTGATGCGGTGCTTCACGCAGATCCTGCTGACGGTGCAGGAGATGTCGGCGTGCGGCAATGAGGACGACGAAGAGATTGCTGAGAACGTGCTGAGCCGGCTTTTCTACGAAGAGTCGACCCATGACGCCATTGCCAACATCATTCGTGGGTACAAAGACCAGGGCTTCGACTACTTGGATGCCGCCACGGAGCTTGTGCACAACTATCTGCGCATCCTGGAGGCGTACTCGAAGCAAAACGTGGACATGCAGGTGCGCTCTCGCAAGCGGACGCGGCGCAAGAAGCGCGACGCCCAGGGGACGGAGGGAGACGACAATGCGGAGCAAAATGACGACTCGGCCGACGACGAGCAAAACGCCGAGCGCACATCCAAGGAGCGCAAGTTCGACTTTCACAGATTCGCCTCGCGGTTCACGCCGCAGGGCGTCGTGGACACGTTTGCGACGTTCACCAAGTACTACCGCGACTTGAGCGAGGCGCAGCTGAAGCGCGCGCATCGGTACTTTTACCGGCTCGCGTTCAAGCAGGAGATGAGCGTCATGCTGTTCCGGGTGGACATTGTCCACCTGCTATACAACATGGTCAAGGGACCCGAGGCGCTGGACAAGTCGTCTAGCTCGTTCAAGGACTGGGAGGAGCTGGTCAAGCAGATTCTGCGCAAGTGCTTCAAGAAGATTGAGGAGCGGCCCGAGCTGGTTGTGGAGATGCTATTCAGCAAGCTGCAGGGCACCGCCTTCTTCCTCGAGTACGGCTATGAGCGGCAGACTGCGGCGAGCAAGGCCAAGGCGCGGCCGGCGACTGAACTCGAGTTCCGGCATACGGAGGAGCGCGACAGGCAGGTGGCGATTGTGGTTGGGGCGATGCTGGACAGAAATGAAAACGACCACATCGACTGGGTGAAGCGCGTGCTGGCTGATGCCGAAAGTGAACGCCGGTCGTGGGTGGCAGCGGATCAGGCCCTGCCGTCGATCGAGGATCCGTTCGAGGAGGAGGCGGCCGGGGACAAGGAGCCGAAGAAGCCCCCTATCATCAGTGAGTCTTGCGTTTCTGATTTTGTTTCCTGCGCTGACTGGATAGCCGTACGCCCCGACGACCAAGCCCGTCGGACAGCCATGTTCAAAAACTCGTACCTCCGCCTGCTCATGACGGTATGCGGCTTCCAGCGGCTCGGCCCGGTGTCGGAGGAGACGGTCGAGTCCATGTGGGTGGTGCCAGAAGACGTTGCGGCGGACCACCTCAAGGACTCGCTGCACTTTATCAACCAGGCCGAGTTCAGCCCGCCAACGTTTGAAGCTGGCGTTTTGGCAGAGCACCAGCTGCGGCGCAAGACGGTGCCGCGTAAAAAGGCCGCCTTTGACGACGACGACGAGGACGCCGACGACGCCGCGCTCGACGACGAGTTCCTGTTCCCCGCGGGCGGA